CTTTCGGGCTGTCCCCCTCTGCAACCCTAACCGGGCACGCTTCCTGCGCCTCACCAAGCCTGACCTCTACTCGGTGGGGCAGTGGCTGGGGCTGGCCTGGGAGAACCACTCGCTGGTGCCCGAGATGCTGGCCGTGCTGGAGGAGGACCAGCGTGCGTGGCTGACACGTCTCGCCAACTACTCGCGCTTCTTGCCACCCCGCCGCTCCGAGCGCACCATGCAGAGCTTCTTCCATCGCCTGGGTCACCAGATCGAGGACATGCTGATGGAGTGCCGCTTTCGGGGAGAGCGCTGCGGCCCCCAGCACTTTGCCCCCGTGAGTCCCCATCTGGCTGGGGCAGGATGGATGGGCTGCTCCATGGGTGCTGGAAGTGATGCTTCACACACACCCCCCAGCAAGGGTGGAGGGGTGGCAGCATGAGGGGGGAGGCCCCTTCCAAGGGCCATGCCAGACTGTTCCCTGCTTCCAGCACCTCCATGGGATTGGAAGGAGGTCTCTGGACCTCATCCTGCTTGCAGAATTCCCTTCCAGATCCATGCCTGCTCCTTCACCCTCCTCTCCTTTCTCCTCCCCAGGTCTACACACGCTACGGTAAGTGCTACACCTTCAATGGGGACCGGAGGAACCCACGAGTGACCCGCCAGGGTGGCATGGGCAATGGGCTGGAGATCATGCTGGACATCCAGCAGGAAGAGTACCTGCCCATCTGGAGAGAGACCAGTGAGTGGGGCTGTGGTGGGGGCACGGGTAAGGGTTGCTGGGAGGGAGGGCTGCTGGGCAAGTAGGGCACCCTGGGGGGGGCTATGGGTCAAGCGGGGCACCAGGGGGGTGCTGGGCTCCAGGGTGCAGGTGCTGGGTGAATGCAGGTCCTGCCCTTCTCCCGCAGACGAGACGTCATTTGAAGCTGGCATCCGGGTCCAGATCCACAGCCAGGATGAGCCACCCTACATCCATCAGCTGGGCTTTGGTGTCTCGCCCGGCTTCCAGACCTTCGTGTCCTGCCAGGAGCAGCGGGTAAGGCAGGATGCCCTGCAGCCCCCCAGGGAGGTGCCTGTGGGCACCCAGCCTGACACGGCCCTGCAGCCATGCCCCTCTTGCCCCGGCAGCTCACCTACCTACCACAGCCATGGGGGAACTGCCGGGCCAACGTGCAGGGGGAGCAGACACTGCCCGGCTACGACACCTACAGCATCGCTGCCTGCCGCCTGCAGTGTGAGAAAGAGGCCGTGGTGAGGAGCTGCCACTGCCGCATGGTCCATATGCCAGGTGAGGGGGACACATGAAGGTATGGGGGCACCCTGCTGCCCCGACAGTACTGCCTGGGGCTGCACCAGCCCCCTCCAGCCTGCACCCAGGGATCACACCCACCTCATCCCTCTGCACCCAAGGGTACCACCCTGCTCCCTCCCTCTGCACCTAAGGGTGTCCCTTGCCCCATCCCTCTGCACCCAAGGACCACCCCATCCTCTCCGCACTCTGGGTTAGCCCCTGTCCTACCCTCCTTACACCTCAGGTCAGCCCCTTCCCTGTCTGCCTTGTACGCAGGGGCCATCCTTGCCCCAGCTAACCTGCAGCCGAGTCACCCGTCCCCATCCCCTCTGCACCCAAGGGTCACCCCTGCCCACTGCTTTTAGGGGAGTGAGTCGAGGGTGTGGGGCAGAAGCAGGCCAAGCTCCTGTCCCCCATGACCAGCTGCTTCTCCACAGGCAATGAGTCCATC